AGACGGAAAACCAATTTGGGTAAAATATAGTGAGTTGAGGGACTGAATTAAACACTTACAAAAATCTGAGTTAAAAACGGGCACACCTAAAAAAACTAAAAACCACATTGGACATTTAAGGAACATCAAAAGGGTATACGTCTAGCACACAAAGTTCAAAACAGCACAGGTAGGAAAGAAAAGGTAATTGCTTTATTAAGTATTTTATGACATGCATTTGATGTATGATGATGTAACAAAAATAAATACTTTAGCAAATAGTATAATAAAAGTTTTAGAAGTGCAGAGTTACTGCCTGGGCAGCATCCTCCTTGGAAAGCCTAATGTTAACCAAACGCTACTATCTGCATGCAATGAACTCTTGGAATTTAGAAAGAATCAAATATTGACCAATCCTTTAAAATTTCAGGCAAGAGAGGGAAGGCACTTTCTTCAACAAGAAAACTAGACCTCAGCGTCTCTTCAGGTAGATTGTTACAAAAACACAAAAACAATTCCATTTCTACTCTAAACTGATGACACTGGGTGACATCACAGAATAATAACTCTGACTCAGATATTAACACAAACCTGAGCGAGTTCCAGAATCTCATTATGATCTTTATTTAACTCGGTGGGAACTGATCGAACAAGTTTCTTCCTCCCAATCGAGATGACCTCAAAACCACTACCGAGGACCTGTTATGAACAATATCACAAGAAACGATTAATTAGCAAAGAATGAAATGGTCAAACTTGAGTGCTACATATACACAACAACAAACCTTAATGGTTTTGAGAAAAGAAAATTTTATTTTACTAAGCTGATATTCTAATAAAGGGAAAACATTAAAGTCCAATTTCATCAATCAACACTAAACAAGATATAATCACCAAAGTATTTGAATATTTAACATATTTGAGTACCTTCAGTTTACTAATGGCACGCAGACAATCATCTTCAGATATTGCTTCTCGAGCAGTCTTTCTTCGTTGGGAGAGTAGACTGCAAAGCTCTTGCAAATTGATCAAGCCTCCATTATGTGATCTAGTAGCCAAGCAAATTTCAACGATTTGTACGCCTGTTTTAATAACACAACAGGTAAATTGTTCAGATCCTTAAAAATAGAATTGTACAAGACGCAATACGACAACCACAAACAGAAACCATACATATCGTTAGAGAGAGAGACGGAGAGAGAGAGGAAGAAAGAGAGAGAGAGAGAGAGAGGACGTATCTATATTTGGAAGTGTTTGCATGTGCATCAACAAAGATGGATTTTTTTTTTCCTTAAAAGAAAAAAAAACTACTTTCATTTCAATTTTACTTTTGCATCTAGTGCTGCAAATAATCTTTAAACATAATCACAATGTAGATAGTGATCCAGAACATAACTTACAAAGTTTTTGAGTTTCAGTATTTTGGTGATGATTTAGCCAATAGCCCTTTAATAAGTCATGTTATACCCATGCATCGCAAACAATTAAAACTGTCAAAGTAGATGCAACAGATCATCCAGAATCAATGCATTTAATTCCAAACCAGTTGAAAGTTTCTACACTTTAAAATCACAATTGTCTTCTCTTGTATTTGTAGCCATTCATGGCGACTTTTTTTTATTCATTTGATTGCTTATGAAATAGATTTTAAAATTACTGAATGAAGCATATCAATAGTCTGCTCATCTTTTGCATTTGAAGGTGATGAGAAGGAGGCATAGGACAACTGGAATTCCCACACGAGTAGATACCCAAAAAAAAGCTTTCTGGCCTGGGGATTGTTACAGATTCCATTCTTGCTCTTTCTACTAGGTTTAAAATCAATTTATTGTCATCATCATTTAAAATTGTCGAACTTGAAGTGCACCTCAATAAAACTGAACCAAAGATTGCATTGAGGCGCACGGCTCGAGTGACTTGGACGAGACGTACGCCTAATATTTAGTGAGGCAAGCCTCGCCACAATTAGACTGAGGTATATGCCCATTCATTTAGAGGATTTTTTTAAATATTTTTTTTTTTTATTCAATGGTCTGACACCTAAACCGAGTGCACAACTCCTTACGCTTGGGCCTTGCCCTCCCACATGGTCCCCTCTCTTCTCTCAGAATGTCATCCCAATTAGCCATCCCAGCATCACCGCTCAATATTGTTTGTTGCTTTTGCCACTGACACCACCTTATTCTGCACCTTGTTACAAAAGCTTTGGCTCACACATGCAATTGTCCCTAATGTCGTCTCCCTCTCTATTCGTAACTTTTTCCACCGTCGTTGCATGAAGCTTTTGGCATCGTTGTCATCTTTATATGCCCCCTCCTTGCTAAATAGTCTTCTTCCAAGTTTCACAAGGTCTTAAAATTTCTATAACACTAACCCCTTTTTTGTTAATTTTTAAATTTTCAAACAATTTTTTCATTCTAAAATTTTAAAAGAAATGATTAGAGACAAACAGAAATCTACAATGAGTCATCCAAAGAATCTGATATGGAGACATGGTATGCAAGTCAACATTGAAGATAATGATGACACATATTGATGCACTTTGGCACCAAAATCAGCAAATAAACCATGATGAAATCGAAATAGATGGGTCGAAAAACACAATTAACGGCTACTCTTATAAGAATCAAAGAAAAAACAAGCAAGATATAAAGATGATCTACTTTCGAGAGGTAGATCAGCTCTCCCACACCCTAAACGTCGTTAAGAACAACACCAAAATAAGAACAACACAGCAACCACAAAATAATGGATGAAAATAAAACAAACCCTAAGTTCCCCCTCTAATAGAATCCTCATACAGCATTTAAAACCTTTCCTTCTAAACTTCCCTCCAACTCCCCTAAATTTCTTCTTCTTGAAAATGTGATTATGGCCCGAGTGAACCCCACCACCTCCTTTCCTTTCTCTGCAGCTCATCGGGTCCCTCCCCTTCTTCCCGCGCCAAAGTCGACCCGCCTGTGAGCTGGCTATGATGCAATCGGGTGGTCACTTCTGGACCGACTCGTCTATGAGTGTAACATTACTCTCATTCCCAAAAAAAAAAAAAAACATTTTCCTCAAGGTGAAAAGATGGAAACTGCTTGTAGACATTTTCCTCAAGGTGAAAAGATGGAAACTGCTTGTAGATCACCTCATAAGGCTCCCATGTCGTTTCATAGTCTGGCAGTTCTTTCCACTTAACTGATACCTTCTTCATTCCCCTTACTCAGCGCACTTCCTTCATTTGTAATAGTTCCAGAATCAGCTCCAAGTCCTCTGTCAGTGTCGGCGGCAGTGTAGATGAGATTGTGTGATCTTCAATCTCTTGTCTCAGCTGGGATACATGGAAGTTCAGGTGTAGTGCAGATAATGATGGTAACTTCAAATAGTAAGTCACCGCCCTGATGCGTGCTATCACCTCATAAGGCCCAAAGTATCTCGGTGAACGTTTCTCGCTTCTCCTCCTGGCCAATGTCTTCTGTCAGTAGGGTCCAACTTCAAGTAGACTATGTTCCTCTTCATGATTTTTTGAGCCCTCAAAAGATGTCCCTCAAGCCTACTAGTATCCTGTCCCTCTCCTCCAAGTACTAATCAACTTTGGATACTAGTGTAGTGATATGCCCATAATATATCAAGTGAGGTGGATCCCATCCATACAATATCTTGAAATGGGTTGTCTGTGCGGCGATGTGGTATAAAATATTATATCGCTACTCAGCCCATGCAATCCACTTAGTCCATAATTTCAGTGTATCAGATACAAAAAAGCGCAGGCATGTTTCCACACTCCTGTTGACCACCTCCGTTTGTCCATCAGTCTGGAGATGATATATGGTGCTTCTTTTAAAGACTGTCCCTTGTAACCAAATAGCTCTTTCCAGAAGTGGCTGAGGAACACCTTGTTATTTGATACGATCGCTTCTGGCACCCCATACAAAAAGACTACTTCCTGGATAAACAGTGTCGCGACTAAGGCAGCAGTTTAGGGATGTCGTAGGGAATAAAATGTGCATACTTAAGTGATCCATGACCACCATAATTACCGTGAACCTTTCTAACCGTGGCAACACCTCAATAAAATCTATCGTCACTTCTTCTCAAACCTTCTCCGATAATGTTGATGGTTGTAGCAACTGGTGTTATGGTCAAGTACTTGTGGCACTGGAGCACATCATATTTTGACACTTTTTTCTTCGCATCTCTACGCATCCCCACTCAATAAAGCTTTGCCGCCAAATGATTGTAGGTCTTCTACACCTCTAAATAGCCCCCAATCGCACTGCCATGAAACTCTTGTAATAATCTAGGAATATATTCTAACGACTTAGGTAGCAGGAATCGCCCCTGGTGGAGCAGTTGTTGTCCCCTCAATGCATATCCTAGATGATTGTTCAAATCCTGTAGTAATTCGGTCCTTATTTTCCACAACTCCTCATCCCTTTTGCTCTCCTATTTCAAACGTCCCAATATAGGACCAAGGATACCGATAGGGTCATCAACATCTTACTCAACAGCGTGTCAACTGCTGTGTTCTACACTCCTGATCAGTACTGAATCTCAAAATCATACTCTATTAGCTTGTATAGACATCTATGATGCTCCTCAGTCACCATTCGCTGCTCCAAAAGATACTTTAAACTCCTCTGATCTGTCCTGACCAAGAAATGTCATCCTATCAGGTAGAGCCGTAACTTCTAAATAGCCAAGACAATTGCCATCAATTCAAGCTCATATGGACTTTAGCCTCGCGCTGGGTGTAAGAACCTGGCTGAAGTAGGCACTCAGTTGCTGGTCCTGCATGAGCACTACTCCCGATCCATATCCTGACGCATCTGTCTCCATGAATGGTTTACTGACATCTGGAAATGCTAAGATCGATATGCTAGTCATGAACCCTCTTTAGTGGCTCAAAGGCCTATGTTGTTGCTTCTTCCCATTTAAAATTGTCTTTCATCAACCGCTCAATCAGTGATCATGCTATCATTCCGTATCCTCTCACAAACTTCTGGTAGTAGCTTGTGAAACCCAAGAATCCTCTCAACTCCTTCAAATTCCTTGGTAAGGGCCAATCAACCATAGCTTCAACCTTGGACTGATCCACTCCTATGTCTGATCTGGTCACCACATGTCCTAGGTACTCTAGACAGACAACCGATGCTCCCTCAACACCTTCAAGATTGTCCTCAGGTGCCCCACGTGCTGTCTCTATATGACTTAAGATCGGAATATCGTCAAAGAAAATCAGGACAAATTTCCAAATATAAGGTTGAAAAACCCTATTCATGAGGGATTGAAATGTCGTCGGGGCGTTGGTGAGGCCAAACGACATCACCAAGAACTCATAATATCCTTCATGTGTCCTGAATGTTGTCTTGGTAAATCCGTCGGATTCATCCAGATCTGGTGGTACCACGCCTTCAGATCAATTTCTGAAAAAAATAACTGTCACAAAAAGCTCATCCAGCAAATCATCAATCACAGGAATAGGAAACTTGTCCAACACTGTTTCCTTGTTCAAAGTCCAACAGTCCACAAAATCTCCAACTACCATCTTTTTTCTTCACCAACAGGATGGAACTAAAAAAAGGGCTTAGATTGGGCCTGATAATCCCAGCCCGAGCATCTCTCGGATCAGCTTATCTATCTCATTCTTTTAAATCTGGGGTACCTATATGGTCTGACGCTAATGAGAGAAACACTCTCCTTTAATGAGATAGCAAGCTCATGCTCCCTCCGAGGGGGTAACTCGCTTGGCTGCTATAAAACATTAGTAAACTACTACAGCAGTTTTGGACCCTTATGGAAACTCTGCTAACTCTGAATCTCGAACCTCCTCAATGCTCTGCAACTCTACCAAGTAACCCGGTCATGCTCCTTAAATCGGCTTGACCATGGTTTTGCGCGGCACCATAGATTTGCATAAGCTTGCTTTTGAGCGACAACATAGTTTTACACAAGCTAGCATTTCTTCTTAGCACCACATTTCTACCGTCCACTTGGAACCCCATCATTAAGGACTTCCAATCCAACTTCATCTCTCCCAATGTTCGCAGCCACTTCATCCCCAGAATCATATTTGTGTTGCTCAAATCTAAAGAAA